TATTAAGTAATTCCGTAAATTTCATTTAAGAATATAATAAATAGCATTAATAATAGTTTTATGTTTATTTTAATAAAAAAATATATTATATGTTTATATAGACCAACATTTTTATCTAATAAATTTGAGAAGCATTCTCATGATGACACGTGGCTACCAAAACATGTTGTAATGCTTCTCAAATAATACATATATAGGTGATTATATATTAACTATTAAAAATATAGGAGAAGTTTTACATTTCTTACAAACATATAAAATATATAAAGTTTCTCTTTTTATTTTTGTTTTATTTCACATATAAAATATTTAAAAATAGATTAGACTATATAACAATTTTTTATAAGAAATTAAGAGTTGAGACAAATAGTAAATCATAACAAAACTTAAATCTCCTAAGTTGTAGATATTTATCATTATTCAATATATTTTCTTCAAGAGTCATAATACAATGTTCATCAAAATCAATAAAATGGTTTAGTCAATATTATATATGATTTTACAAAATTAAATAAAATCAATACATTTGATTAACAAAAGCACTATATATTTATAAACATGTAAAACAAGAAAATAAAATAAAAATATGTGATTAGAATAAAAATGAAATTTATATAATAAAAGTTAGAACCTAAAATTTAAAATTAAATGTTATTTAACACATACGAAATCAACAAAATTTTTAAAAGAAAATTGAAAGAGATGTAAAATATATGTGATAGCATGAAAAACAATAATTTTATGAGAAAACAAAAAAATGAAAAGTAAAACTAACTTCTTATTTTGGGTACTCAATAAATATTTAATAAAATAGTTAAAAACTAATAAAAACTAAATAAAAATAACTCATTAGTTCGCCTGATGGTTTAACCGATAGCCGGATCACCGGGTTTAAGGGTTTTCAGCGGGTTGTATCGGATTTTTAATTAGTGGATATTTTTTAAAATCCAAACTCAATTACTTATCGGGTCATCGGATTTAGCGGTCGGACCGCGGGTCTGGATCGGACGTGAAAACACTGGTTGAAAGACTTTGTATTACACGTTTTCTCTATTTTGTGAAATACTCTCTGCTGATTATTTTTCTGTGTGTCTCTATTTTGTCAATTAACAAAGGACTACAGCCTTTTAAGCACTTAAAAGATTTATTGGATCAATTCACTGAGAAAACATGAATATATATTTAAAATGTAAATTTTGAGTAGATTTTGCAATAGCTATTACAAATTTTAAATTTATTTGGAGAAATTTAATATTTTTTTTAAATACGTGTTAATTTGAAAAAAACATTATGTACAATGATGTATTTTTATTCTTTAATAAATATTTCTTTTATGAAACATATAATTTATACCTCTTCTTTCAAAGAATGTATTTACTTTTCTCATTCCAACATTTTTTTTTTAAATGAAGTAAAAAATAATGTTCTTTTAGTATTTTAAAAAGTAGCAACTATCAGCATTGTTCTATTCATTATTTTTTTTAACTTTAAATAATCCTCGAGTTCTCACCAAATTGTATTTGATAGATATAACTGAACAAGTTCATAATTTCCAATAAACATAGAAGTTGATGATTTATACAAATAGTTATTCCCATAATTTTGGATTATAAAGACAAAATTGAATAATAAAAATATATTTGGGAAGAAAATTAAATCCTCGCATATATTTGATCTTATAAACAATTTAATTATCAAAATAAATTAAAGAATTATGAAAAAGAAAATTACATATATAAAATGTATATGCTATCTCTAACGGAAAAAAAAAACTAAGGAGTATTATTGGATTGAAGAATTTAATATAATTAGATTACTTTGAATCCTACTATATATGTTATTGGATTTATTTACTCAAAAATTTCAAAAAGTATTATTAGACTTTTTTGGGTTTTTAGTAGATCAATCAATATTGGATCGGATTTTCTTAACTTTTTATCGGATTGCATCAAAATTTTAGTTAAAAAAAATATTTTCATTAAATTCAAAGTGGAATATACACAAATGTCTAGATCTATCACTTCAACCATATATCTGAATCAAATATAAACACACTACTTAAAAATCAAACATTATATTAAAACATTTTTTTGAAATACGAATAAAATAATTTTTAAATTCTTTGTTTTTTGATAAATGTTATAGATTTAATCAAATTTTATTAAATCAGAAAAATACGCATGCTTTTAAAGTGCGAATCAAAATATAGCCTATACTATTAAAGCGTAATTCTTCTTAGGATTATGTCCTTGAATTTTGAAAAAAATTACAAATTATACCACTAACTTTTATTTATTTAAATTAAAGAAGCAAATATTTCTTATATCCATGGGAACTAATACTTTCTATATTTTTGTCAAAGGTAATAATTCTGATTTTATGCTAATTATACTTGTCATTTAATTTGAATATAATTCTGTAAATAATAATATTAAAAGATCGAATATAGGTTTATACATGAATTTCTTAAAAATATTAATTACTATATAATTTCATACATAATATTATTATGCCAATTTTGAGTGTTCATAAATAATTTAAAACTTATTATAAAATTAAATTTTAGATCTAAAATAAATAAAAATTTAAACATAGCATAGGTTATTAAAAACAAAAGGAAACTAATATTGTCATATCATATTTTTTGTCTTTTTATATAACCATTGTTTCGTTTTTATCAAATGACATAATAAAAATTGCATCAAATTCTAAGGAATTAAAAAAAATCAATTTTATATCATATTAAAAATAAGAGTTCTTTAAACAAAAATTTCAAAAGTATTATTAGATTTTTTGGGGGTTTTATTGGATCAACCAATATCGGATCGCAAATTTTTAAATTTTTACCGGATTGCATCTAATTTTTAGTTAAAAATGATTTTCGTTAAATTCAAACTGAATTATACACTAGTTTCTAGATCAATCGCTTCAGCCATATATCTGAGTCAAATATAAACACACTATTTAAATCAAACATTATAATAAAATATTTTTTTTCAAATACTAATAAAACAATTTTAAATTTTTTTATAAAACTAATAGATTTAATCAAATTTTATGAAAACAGAAAAATACCCACACTGTTGAAGTGCGGATCGAAAAAATCTAGTCATTCTATTATAGAGTCAGAAACCCACTGGAGTGAAGCATATTCTATTATTTTTTTAACTAGTTGCATAATCCCGAGACCGGGATCATTATGTTTACGTGTATTTTTTAGATTGTTGGTTTAGTGGATTCTTCTAATGACACCAAATAATAATGAAATGGAAAAAATGTATTAAGAGTGTAAAGTGAAAATACTGTATATAGTATAATGTATTAAATGTTATTTATATGCGAAATAAGGTTATAGGAATAGTTAGGCTATAATATAGTTTTTAGTGTGTAAAAGTAGGTGTCTATTTTTTTTTTTTTGCTGTAAATAGTTTTTATATCCTAGGTCAAAACTTAATATAATTCTATATTTATAGTATTTATATTTGTATTAAAAAATTTATAAATTTGAAAATAACCTTATTAAGTTAATATTCGTTGTTTGAGCTTCAATAGATAGGTTTTTATATATGATTTTTTGTAAGTTTGAGTTTTATTCATAAATGATGTGGCATTTTTATCTACGGCGTCATCGACTATGGAAATCCATTCGCCGGAATCTGGAGTCTGTGGTGAGGAATGTTTTCAATGAAATTATAGTAGTTATTAAAATGTAAGAGAAATTACATATTCATTTAATAAATAACGAAAAATACTTAAATTTTGTTGTTTATTTTATTTTATTTCACATACAATTTTTTTTGAAAATATATTAGGAATGTGTTAAATGTTATTTATATGCGAAGTAAGATTTATAGGAATAGTTAGGCTACAATATAATTTTTAGTGTGTAAAAGTAGCTGTTTTTTTTTGCTGTAAATAGTTTTTGTATCGTAGGTCAAACTTGATATAATTCTATATTTGTATCAAACGATTTATCAATTTGTAAATAACCTTAATTAAGTTAATATTCGTTGTTTAAGTTTCATTAGATAGGCTTTTATATATGATTTTTTGTAAGTTTGAGTTTTGCTCATAAATGATGTGGCATTTTTATCTACGGCGTCATCGACTCTGGGAATCCATTCGCTGGAGTCTGGAATCGGTAGTGAGGAATGTTTTTAATGAAATTATAGTAGTTATTAAAATGTAAGAGAAATTACATATTCATTTAATAAATAATTTTGTTGTTTTTTTTTATTTTATCTCATATACAAATTTTTTGAAAATATATATTAGGAAATATGTGCAATGATTTAAATTTTTGTGCTCTTAAGCTATATTATTTAAGCTATATTATTTAAGCCTTATTAAGCCATCCACGTAGGCAGCCGCGTGGGACTCACTTTTTTTTTGTTTTTTGGTCTGTTCGTTATTGGATTCATTTTTTATTATTTTTGGGTTGAGCTATATTATAAGATAGTTTTAAGTCTCTTTAAGCCATCCGCGTAGGCAACCGGGTGGGACTTGTTTTTTTTTGTTTTTTACTGTTTGTTTTTGGATCCAATTTTAACTATTTTGGGGTTTAAACTTGTTAAGATTTAGGGTTTATACAACTATTTTGAATTTTAAAATAATAAGCCAAAAAAAACAGAAAAACCTTATAAACAAAAACCCATATGATAATAACCCAAATCAAAAAATCAAAATCCATGGTAGCTGCGTGGTTTGAACCCACAACCTTGCATAATTAATTAAACACCTTATACCACTTGGCTAAAGTGTATATCATTGTTCACAATCATCTTACCAAGACTATGGATTTTTAAAAAATACTTACGGATCTCACAAAACTGATGATGTGGCGTACTGTGGTGCTAGAAAGTCTACTATTATAATATAGATTCGATATTAGAGAAAAAAATAAAATTTTATATTGGAGATGCTTTTAGAACATTTATAACCAAACCGGAGCCGAAGTTTGTTTTTGTTAGATTAATTTCAACAACATATTTCCAAACCGAAGAACTCCGAATTTCAAATTCGGAAAATCAAACTACTAATGGGCCGAATAGAGTAGGAGCTGTGTCGAACCAAATGACGGAGAGATTCTTCCCGACGAAACAAAGCTCCAGCGGCGGCGGGAATCACCGGCGAGATAACCTCACTCTCCTCTCCGGCCCGATCACCTCGTATGTATATTTCTTCCTCCTCATATTTCCTTACTTTTAATCCATCTCTCTCTCTGCTATTTACAGAGGCAAAACTTCTCTGCTATTCCAATTCGCAATCAATATAGCGTCTGCTTCTGAAACCAACCACGTCGTCTTCATCTGCCACCGCAAAAGAATCGAATCCAACCCTCCCTTCCTCTCTCAGGGGATCGACTCTTCCTCCCATGTGTTCAATCGTATTCAGATCAAGTAAGAAACTACTTTTCAGTTAAGCTTTGGATTAAGTATGAGTGATTGATGGTTTTTTTTTTTTTTTAATTGTAATGGAAAGGTATGTGGATGATGATGAAGGACTCAGGAGCTACTTTGCTGCGTTTCATCTTCATCTTGATTTCCCTGCTGCAGTTGTTATCGATGATTTTGGTGACTTCTTCACCCAATCGTAAAACCTCCTCTCTCTCTCTCTCTCTCTAAGATGTTTCAAGAAACATAAGTTCACTTTGGGGTCTTACTAACTCACATTCTTCTTCTTTGGAAAGGAACTCGAAGGGGAGTTTAATGAACTCACGTGCTAGAGACATGGCCATGGTGCGGACTCTTGCTCTATGCCACAACGCTATTGCTGATGCCAAGTGAGTCCGGTGAAAAGGTTTTTTTTTTTTTTTTTTTTTTGGGCAAGAACTAATGTGTGTGCTTGCTTTGAACACGGTATGTGTTTCAGCAAGAAAGCTGCTTGCGAGCTTGTCTTATCCGAGACCAGTTCTGGAGACTCCCCGAGGTCATTGTTTATCTACAAACGATGGATCCCATCCATCTTTACAATAAAAGGTTTTGTTTTTCATCTCTTTCTTCCGATTCATATAAGAAACATTTCACTCCAAAGTTTGTAAAAACGGCCATTGAATGTGATGAAGGTCATGGTGATGGGTCGTTTCTCTTGAGAAGCAATGGTTCATCTGAGAAAAGTGCCAAGTATTCTATCGCGCTGCAATATCTCATCTTGGAGGAGATTGTTCATGGATGATGAAGAGTTAGTTTAGTTTTCCTAATAACAAGTTGTGTGTTTTAACATATTTTTCATTTATTTTATAGTTCTAATCACTTTTTTTTTTTAATTAAAAATTATTGGGGATTAGGGAATAGGTATTCGAGAGAGAGAGATATAATTAGGGATTAGGTCTTTCTCACTTGTTCCTTGGGCTATAGCTTATTGAATCACACTCTTTATAGAGTGGTTAAACCTTACAGGGGAGATGATAGAGGAGATTTTCTCTTGGATTCCAGCTAAAGCTCTGTCCCGGTTTCAATCAACATCCGAACATTGGCAGGCTCTACTTAAATCTGAGAGCTTTGCTAAGAAACATTCTGCTAATGCACCGGAGGAGGATCCTCTTAATATCATGTTGGTTGATTATAGCTTATTTTTAGTGAGGATCATTCTCCATGATGCTCCTTCTGTTAAGGTAGCATATCAAATTATCAATTCAACCTTAAAGACCTTGATTATAATTCTTCACAAGTCGCTATACATAACGTGTGTCACTGTGACGGGTTACTGCTATGCACCACAAACGAGAATAGACTTGTTTGTTTGGAAACCAAGTGGATTAAACCTAGAGACAGTTACAAGGTATCAGACTGCTATGCTCTTGGTTACGACAACAAATCCTCCTGCAAGCAGTAGAAAGTCTTGAGGGTGGATCTTCAAGAGATTCTACCAATCAACTACAACTATGAGATTTATGACTTTACCTCTGATTCGTGGAGGGTTCTTGGTGTGGCTACTGATTGGTTTTTAGCAAAATATCGTCCTGGCGTATCTTTGAAGGGAAATATTTATTGGGTTGCTACATGGAGTCATCTACATACTGATTTCTTACTTAGTGTATTGCAACCAGTCCACGAAGAACAACAAGGTCGTACACATTGTGAGAGGAAATACAGACATAAACGTGGATCCTCTTGATCGATACTCTACAATCAGACCATCATCATCGTCCTCACTTCTTTCTGAATTATGTTCCAAGTTTGACCCAAATAAAACATGGGAAGAGCAAATCATGTGATTTGTAACTTGTCTTTTCATTGATGTAAATTGTTTTTATTAGGGAACTTTGGTCTACGCTTATTAGGAAGAGACCCTTCCATATGATATACAGTACCCTTATTTAACACAAAAAGTAGGGTATGAGTTTTGGTTGAGCAATAGATTAAAAAAAAAAGTTTTTTAAATGAAGGAGAGATCTATCCCATGCATGTTGTAGTTCAGACACGGTACACCTTCATAACCTGATGGATGTTGGCCCGACAGATAGGACATTCGGATGCATGGGATTTGATCTGGGTCAAGCAAGACATGCAACCTGCGACATGTCCACACGGGACACAAATCCCATCAGATGGAGCTTCCATACATATCAAGCACTGTCCAGAGCTCCCTCCGTCTTCTATATTTTCACCACCAACTGAAGCTGATGGGGTTGTTGAACCGCTTAATGGGTAATGCATCTGACCTTCCTCTACCGCTTCTATATCATCTTCTGCCAAAGGAGGAGCAGATGGTAGTACTGTCTGGACAACGACCGGGGGACGCACTGGCTGTATATTTTGATTTTCATGAGAGTTATCATTATATAAAACAAGATGTGAAACAAGAAGTCTCTATTTTGATTTTCATGAGAGTTTTCATTATATAAAACAAGATGTGAAACAAGAAGTCTCTATAAATCCAAGGGCTCTTGTTTTTGCCATTACCTGTTGAATTCCTTTGCATGCATCGCAAAACCACTTCAGCTGTTGTCTGCCCCCTTCTATTGAAGGTGCAAGTTTCAGAATTTTTTCTGCAAAAAAAGAGAAGAAAAACTCACATGTTTTAAGTTCACAAAAACAGAGTTATAATAACTCAAGAGCAGATAATAAAACAGACACACTTTCTTAGCAAGCTGTAGATTTTTTGATACAAACTAAGAATAGATGTCAGCAACTTAACAGTAAATTATTATTTTTTTGCAAAAGAAAAAAAAAAACTCAACAGTATATAGTACTCCCAACTACTTGAAGCCTCTACGCCTCCACGCAGACTCAGGATAAAATTCAATCAACATGCACAAAACTTAGAGTTTTGCATGTAAACAACAGATAAACGTGCTGGGATATTATTACTTTTGGTGTTATCATTGTCAACAATCATCACTGAAGTATTAGGGTGCATCTCCTCTGGTTCTTCCAAGTTTGGATTCCTCAAAGCCATCACCACCCGTGGCTGTGCATCCTGATTACATCATACCAGTTTCATCAACCAGAAAATACCAAAAAATATGCAAGACTTAAACAAACTACATTTTGTTCTCTGAAATGTTATTATATAATGATCATCGTACCTTCAGACTAGCATACACAACCAGCTCAAATTTGTAAGGCTTAGGGTAAATTGAGCTAGTTGGTATGATGACAACCCATCTGCAAATCAAAGAAGACTCATATATAGTCTTGTGCATAAGGAAGTGGAAATCCTCAGAAAAAGGGTTAAGTTCAACGAGTGAGTACTCACACTTTTCTTGAAAGAAGCTGAGGAGCAAATACATCAAGAAGGGCAGGACCGTAAAATTCACGCATCCAACCAGAGAACACGGATATGTGATTCTACAGAAGAATCATATCTTTCAAAAATTAACTACAGGGAATGAAAAAGAAGAATATAGGGTATTACAAAAACATACCTCAATGGCACGTACGACATTGGTGAACTTATAGTATCTTGCTTGTTGGAGTGGTGTCTGACAATCATAATTTGCTGCCGGGAAAAACAGATTATGACATATGAGAGTGAGATCAGATATAGATCACCATACCTAACGTAGACACCAAAGTCACATTTCAGTTAAGCAGAAAGCATCCAATTCAGTTAGGATTTTTATAAAAAAAAATTTTCTTACAAATTTAGGGGCATGTCTATATAAATCATTTCTTAAATTTTGGGGGTCCGTGCACCAATGTCTTACTTGCCTATCTTTAAGACTACCCTTGGTAGTAAACTAGTAATAGAGGGGAAACACTTACCACCATTTGAAAGAAGTAATTTAACAGTCTTCTCGAGACCTCTTCTTGCAGCATGGTACAGAGGAGTCGCGTCACGGGGAGCTAAATACCGACAAGAGAAACAACAGCAAAGTTACTTTCTCACTTGAAACAGATAACAAAGTTTCCAACTCGGACAGACACAAGAAAGATGTAAAAGCTAAATTTAACAAAAATTTTATTTTAAAAAAAAAAGAAAGAATATTGAAAATACCAGGAGGATGAGCATTAACATTGGCGCCCAGCTCGATCAAAGTTTGGGCGACATCAAAAAGCTTGGACTTCCTGCAAGCCAAGCTCAAAGGCGTGTTTCCTTCTTTATCCATCCACTGCGACATCATCGAAACACGTAAATCAGAAGTTCAGAACACGAGGCTGTCCTGTAAAACCCTAAAATTCTAACCAATATAGCAGGAAAACCTCGAGGTTTGCACCCTCTAGACAAAGAGCTCGAATCCCTTCCACGTTGCCGGACTTCACATTCGTAAACATCAGTTTCTTTTTCGATTGCATTTGACCCATTTTTTCTCGCCGATCAGAGAAACTGTTTTGTTTTTGGCTTACTTCCTTACCAAACGAAAGTTAAGAAATGGTCTGGTCAAATTCCGACCAAGAAGACTTCAGTCTGAAAAGTCAAAACTTCTCACAATGGAATTCTTTTTGATATCTTTTACTAAATTTTGTATAGTACTGACATAAAACTTTCTATATTACTTTTCAGACTGAAGTTGTTCAAAAAAAAAAAAATTTCTATATTACTTTTTGGATAGTATTGTCCAAAAAGAAAAAATTGTATAGTACTACTTCTTCCTATATTATAGCAACTTTCAAAATTTTATAAATTTATTTTTAGTGAAATCGCTAAAAATGACATAAAACTTGATTTCAAATGCAAAAGTATACTTTAAGTTCAATCGAATGCAAAAGTAACAAAAAATTTAGTGAAATTATAACCAATCTCTTATGTCCAAACAAAAAATAATATGCATTTTCACAAATATAATCCAATAATTTATAATTTTTATAAAAAAAAATAATTTTCTTAGAGAAAAATTGAAATCATGTAATTATAAATATTTGTAAGTGATATAATAAAATCCGAGTACTATTTTCTTGATCATATCATCTATAACTTGCAATCCTAGCTCACCAGTTTGATATAACAAACTTTTCCACTTGCACATTCAAATGAAACGCATCGTTTCATTATCAAGTTGCCTATAAAGGTTTAGACTTGGACTGCCTTTCTTTTTGCAGGTACATGGGCTAAGACAAGTTGAGATGATGTTGGGCCAATAGCAAGCAAATCCACTTAATATTTTGATTTTTCAACATAGATGTTTCAGAGTCGATCACTTCCTCATCCTTTTTCGTCTAGTATATCTGCTTTATCTGTGGTTTGTGAAGAGAAACTTTTTCTTTTATGCATGTACATGTATCAGATAAAACTTGTTAGGTGACAAATAGTCTCAGATCAGTCATGTTGTGGAGCGAGCTCCTAACAGTGAAAGCCTATAGCGAAGTAAATCTTAATGGGTTGAGTTTCTTGGTCGATGAGGAGAGCAAAATTGTATTGTATTGCATTGCAACCAGTCCACTAAGAAAAACAATATCGTACACATTGTGACAGGAAGTACAGACATAAATGTGGATCCTCTTGATCCTAAGAGCAAAGCATGTGATTTGTAACTTCTCTTTTGATGTTGTAATTGTTCGGGAATTTTGGTCTGCACTTATTAGGAAGTTTGGCTGAATATGTTCCAAGTTTGGCTCAAGTTTCAATAATTATAACCGTGTGATCTGTACTACCTCCGTTTCGTTTTATATGTTTTTCAAACATATTAAGAAAATTTATAAACTTCTTATTTTATCCTTAATTAATATATCGTTTTATTTGATTATGTTAATTGATGAGCTAAAAGAGTAAAGATAAAATTAGAAAACAAACAAATATATGCATTTAAAATATAAAACGACATTTAAAATGAATAATTTTTAAAATCTACAACATATAAACCGAAACAGAAGGAGTAATAGTCTTCGTTACTAAGTAACTAAGGTCTATGCTCTTTGATCTTTCCGATGATTAAACTTTCACTACACCTGAAACCAAAATGTCACTACATAACCAATGTTTTGTCAAAACCCACAATGATTAAAACATTCTTGAAAGAAACACTTCTATTTGATATAATAAGATGTTTTACCCTTATTTAACACATGCAATAGGTTATTGATTTTGGCTGAGCAAAGAGTTAAATAGTCTCTCACAAGACAATGAAGGAGAGATATCTCCCATGAAGTGGTATACCTGTTGTACTTCAGACACGGTACATCTTAATAACCTTATCAATGTTGGCTCGACAGACTGAACAACCACCCCCCATTTCTTGGATTTGATGTCGGTCAAGCAAACCATGCACCCTGCCACATGTCCACACGAGACAAATATCGTAAGATGGTCTGTCCAGAACTTCCTCCGTATTCTGTATTTTCACCACCAACTGAAGCTGATGGTATATAGCCAGGGGTAGTTGAACCGCTTAATATGGAATGCATCATACCATTCTCTACTGCTTCTTTATCATTATCTGGAAGAGAGGAGCAGATGATAGTTTTTTCTGGACACGTAACAAGAACCGAGGGACCAGTGGCTGTATATGTTGATTCCATGGGAGTTTCATTATATAAAACAAAGAACTAAGATATGAAACAAGAAGTCTCTATAAATCCATGGGCTCTTGTTTTTGACATTATCTGAATATTCTTTCACATGCATCACAAAACCACTTAAAATGTTATATGTCCTCTTTTGTCAAAGGTGCAAGTTGCATAATTTTTTCTCTCAAAAAGAGAAGAAAAACTTGTAAAGTTTGAGATCAATATACAAGGTTTTAGCGTTGATTAACTTATGATTGATTTTCACAAGTGTTTTGTTTCAGTTTTGTACGAGATCAAACAAGAACTAAATGCAAATGAGATTTGTTCACCATCGGTTCGCTGATTTACTCACACAGAAGGGGGAACGGTTTCCTTCAACAAAAATTTATTAGCTGCAAATCAACAAAACATAGTTTACAGAAAGAGAATATACTCACTTATCAGATTCACTTTGAAATAGGAAAACCACTACTGGAGTCATTCTCTCTGACTAATCTCCACCACCGTGATTCCGTTGCGTTTCTTCCTTCTGATAAGCTAAGAGCACCTCAAATGGTGGTTCTTCCCATTAGAACTCTTAATATATATATATATATATATATATATATAATACATATTTTAAGAGCTCTGAAGGGAAGAACCTCCATTGGAGGTGGTCTAAGTCTCTTCTTATCTTTAGTACTATGTTCTTGATCATATCCTCTGTAACTTGCAATGCTAGCTCACCAGTTTGATATAACAAACTTTTCCACTTGCACATTCAAATGAAACGCATCGTTTCATTATCAAGTTGCCTTTCAGAGTTTAGACTTGGACTGCCTTTCTTCTTGCAGGTACATGGGCCAAAACGAGTTGAGAGGATGTTGGGCCAATAGCAAGCAAGCCCACTTAATGTTTGGCTGAACTTAGACCCACAATCTCTATCTTTCATACATAAAAACAAATTTTGTCTCTCTCTTTGAAACGTTATCCTCCAGCCTCTATCCCTTCTCTCTACGACAATTCTTTGGTTTCTTCACATTGGAACAGTTCCAATGACTTCCAGAGCTTTTTATCCAGCTCCTGTGACTTCTGAAAGTAACCAGTGTAACCAAAGTACTCTATGTATCTCTTCTCTTCTTCTTTAACTCTAAAATTAAAAGCTTCAATATTTATCAACAACTAACACATGTAAAATAACTATGTTATCAAACTGGTTGAAATCCATCGACTTGGTTCTCATGGTGATCAATATCTTCTTCTTTTTCCTCGTCTTGGTTCATATTTTCTTGTTCATGATCACCGTCTTGGTCATTACCTGTGTCACCCTTATATGGAAGCTTAAGCATATTTGGTTTACAATCAGCTTGGTTTGTTGTAGCTGTCCAAATCTAAGCTTTCTTTTCGTGGAAGATCACATCTCTACTCACCATCATCTTTCTTGCGACTGGATCATAAAGTTAATATATTTTGGAACTTGGCTCAGTTCCAAGAACGACTGGATAATAAAATTTATATTCTTTGTAACCTGGTTTAGTTTTAAGACTAATCACATTCTTTGATTTCTCATCCAACTTCTTAAGATGAAGAACCACGAGCTTTGCATGTGCTACACAACCCAAAATCTTTAAACCAAAAATCTTTAAGTGCTTGATATTTTTTTTTTGATGTGACACTTGTATGGCATTTGATCCTTTAACATTGGGAGTAGCCCAATTGATGAGGTAATTTAAACTGCCTTTTAATTTGGAATAAAGAAACACAAACATGATCTAAATAGTAAACTTCATATTCTATTTAGATTTCATTTTTGTGTGTTATTTCCTAATTTATTAAACACTTATTAATTAATAAGTTAATTTTCTCCACAAGTTTTTGGAATTATCCAACACTTTTATATTCATTTTTTATTTATTTATTTGACACTAGTAAATTGTGTGTTTTGGTTAAACTAAAGACTACTATTAGATGTTATCTGGTTTGTCATCTCTTACAAAATTGTTTCATTTCAAATGTTCCAAAATAATATTATGAACCTAAATACTAACGAGATAAGCTACATTCGGCCGAACTTTAGAATAAGATTCTAAAGTGGCATCAATAATATCACCTGAAACCAAAACTTGTCACATCGGAAGCCAGTCTTTTTTTTTTTTTTTTCAAACCTTAAGAACGAAATCATTCTTGGAAGAAGCCCCTCCATGTTATATATTGTTTTGCCCTTATTTAACACACAAGACATGGTATGATCGTTTTTGGTTGAGCAAGAGATAAAAACAGTTTCAAAGGTTTAGAAGAAGTCATAGTCTCCCACAAGGCAATGAGGGAGTTGTACCTGTTGCACTTTAGACATGGTACACCGTAATAACCTGATCAATGTAGGCCCGACAAGTTGGACATCCCGATCCATAGGATTTGATGGCGGTCAAGCAAGCCCTACATCCTGCCATATGTCCACATGGGACACAGGCCGCAACAGATGGAGCATCCATACATATCACGCACTCTCGAGGGCTCCTATCTTCTGTATTTGCACCACCAACCGAAACTGACGGGACATCGCCAGGAGTTGAATCGAGTAATGTGTAATGCATCGAACTTTCATCTACGTCTTCTGCATCGTCATCTGGCAATGGAGGAGCTGAGGGTAGTACTGTTTTGTGACCGACATGGGGACGCACTGGCTTATATTTTTTTATTCCATGAGACTTTTCATTATATAAAATAAAGAAGGCATATATGAAACAAGAAGTCTCAATAAATCAAAGGGATTTTGTTCTTGACATTTACCTGTGGTATTCCTTTGTAGGCATCACAAAACCACTTCAGCTGTTGTCTTCCTTCTTCAATCGACGGTGCCAGTTTCAGACTTTTTACTGTAAAAGATACAAGAGTAGATAATAAACATAGAGACATAGATTTAGACATTATCTTATGAAGCTGAAACAAGGATGTAAGAAATGATTTGATACATACTACTTAAGAATAGTTTTCAGCAACTAAACAGAGTACTTACTACTCCCTACTACAGCGTTTCCAGTGGGAGGCGCAGATTGATAGTAAAAATCAATCAACAATGCACAAAACTTAGAGGTGTGCAAGTAAAACAACATATAAATGTGTTGGAAAATTACTTTTGGGGTTATCATTATCAAAAATCGTCACATAAGTATTAGGGTGCATCCCTTGTGGTTCTTCCAAGTTTGGATTCCTCAAAGCCATCACCACCTCTGGGCTTGCATCCTGAATAAAGCATACCAGTTTCATAAGCAGGTAAACATCATTGCTTTGTTTTCGGAATTGTTATCATCTTATGAACATCGTACCTCCAGACTAGCATACACAACCAGCTCAAACCTGTAAAGCCAAGGGCAATTTGTACTAGTTGGTAGGACGACAACCCATCTGCAAAATCATACGGTTTAAACAATATTCATAGCTTTTTTTGCATAAGAGAAATTGAAATACTCAGAATTAATTAAGGGGAAAAGAAGAACGAGATTTCATTGCACACAAACAAATAAAGCTGAACCAATAGAGAAGAAAAGGGACAGATAAAGGGTTAAGTTCAATGAGTGTACTCACACTTCTTTTGAACGAAACTGAGGAGCAAAGTAATCAAGAAAGAAAGGGCAGTTAAATTTACGCATCCAACCAGAGAACACGCAGATGCGACTCTACAGAATACACAAGAGTAATCATATCTTTGTAAAATATTAGTTTTTTGTTTTTGTCACTGTAAAATATTAGTTAAAACATACCTCAATTGCACGGACGATATTAGTGAACCCATGGAGTCTAGCCAATTGAAGTGGTGCATGAGAATCATAATTTGCTGCTGGTAAAAGAAACAGATAATGCCATGGGAGGTGAACACCGTACAGTTCAGTACATACTAAAATCACAGTAAGTTAAGTAGTAAGAGAGGACAAGACGCTTACCACCATTGAAAAGAAGTAAGTTAACAATGTTCTGGAGACCTCTACTTGCCGCATGGCACAGAGGAGTCATGTAACGAGAAGCTGATATTGACAAAAGTAAGAACATGACCAAATTAATTAGCTGATTTTTTTTTTTACCATTCAAAAACTCAAACTTCTCTCTCATGGTAAGCATCTTTAAGTTTCCATAATAGGAGCCACAGAAAAAAGGAAGAATCTTTTTAAGTACCAGGCGGATGGGCATTAATATTAGCTCCAAGTTCGATCAAAGTAAGCGCGACATGGTATAGCCTCGGATTCATGCAAGCAACGCTCAAGGGCGTGTTCCCTTCTTTATCAGTCCACTGCGAATATCGAAATACATAAACTAGAAACTACGAAAAACAAGAGTCTGTCCTGTAATACCCTAGTTCCTAACCTGAGAAAAGAAGAAGAGTTTGACAATAACCTCGAGATTAGCTCCCTCTTGAAGAAGAGCTCGAATCCCTTCCACGTCTCCGGATCTCACTTGCTTAAACAGCAGATTCTCTTTTGATTGCATTAGCCCCATTCTGCTGGCCGATCAGATACCTTTTTTTGTTTTGCTTTTGTTTACTTAGCACATAAGAGTCAAGTGAGAACTGTTCATGTAGAATTGTTAACTGAATTTTGTAAACTACTCCCTATATTATAGAACTTTCAAATCTTTCACCTTGATAATTTTTGTTATCATTTTGTGGCCTTGCATCAGCGTTCTCTCTCATCTCTGAACATCGGTCAATATGTTCTATCTGCACATACGGATTTAATTATTTTATAAACAATTTATTGATATATGCATTGAGTTCTAATACAATGCTATTAATACTATTAAAAATAAAGCCCTATTTTGAGATGCCTTCCTATTTTAACAGCATTTACAATTCTCTGTTACTAAGATATTTTAAGCTATGTTTTTTTTTTTGGTAATTCATATTAAACCATCTCCTAATTAAATGAGTTATTTTTCCTTTAATTTGATATTTTACCATGGCCTTGATTGGTACATCAGATGACAAATCAATAGCAGCATAACAATATGCTGCAGAAACTGTATGTTTTCATTAAATTTTTTAATAAAGTGGTTGGCAGAGAAATAGCAATATATAATTTTAAAATGATTATAATAATTAATATAATAATATTTATAATATATATTAATAATATATTTGATATTAAAAATAATGAATCTTATTCATTATATAAATTTTATTATAATTTAGATGTGAAATATTATTATTTACAAAATGTTATTTTTGGATGTAAACATATTTTAATAGTATTAAATTAATATCAATTATAATATATATATATATATATATCATTATTTATTTATTGGTGGAGCAGTAAATGATTCATACATAAAATTATCATAAAAATTGATATATGTTATGTAATTCATTTATTAGTTCTAAATAATATATATTTTTATATCTATAATATATAAATATATATTATGTAATGTTTTCTATTAAAATAAAGAATGATGCGTGTAATTATATAAATTATATTATATTTTAAATGAGAAATCTTGTTCTATTAAAATATTTAATTATAGTTTTATTTTTTATTTTAGTAATATAAATTTATTTTTGATTATTAAAATATTTTAATATTATTAAATAAAATAAATAAATTAAATTATTTTTAAGTTTTATATATTCCAGCTACAAATGCTCTTCCAAAAGCTCTACCTAAGAGCTAGGACTGGACAAAAAACCTGGATCCGAAGAACCAAATCCGATCCGAAAAAGTAGTATCGTACCCGAACCAAAATTGATTGAATATCCGAATGGGTTTAAAATTTTAGTATTTAAAGAACCGAAACCGAACCCAGCCTGAACCGAAGTATTTCGGGTACCCGAATATATCCGAAAGAGATTTATATACATATATATATTAATTATTTTAGATTTAATATATATAAAAAACATTCAGTATATATATAAAATACTTTGAAGTTGTTCAAAATACTTGTAAATATATGTAAATAGTCAAACATACATGTCTAAAATTGCTAAAGTACACTCAAAACATCAAAAATATTTAAAAAAAATTATTGATTCACAATCCAAATATTTAAATCAAACTAATTTATATGTTAATTTTAGATATTTTGTCTTAGGTTATTCAATTATTTGTAATATATTATTTTTTTTATAAATTTTTAGAAATTTAAAGTATATAATCAATTTTAAAATTTTTAAAAAGAATTTAAATGGGTTATCCGAACCCGCAAAGATCCGAAACGAAACCGAACCGAAATTTAGAAATATCCGAATGGGGTTAAAATTTATGAACCCAAAAACCCGAATAGAACCAAACCGAACCCGAATGGGTACCCGAACGTCCACCCCTACTAAGAGCATCGAGAAAATAGCATTTGGAGAGCATTAGCATTTATTAAATGTTTTTCTAAATGCTCCTTTAGCAAATATTGATTAGATAATAGAGAGCATAATGCTTATGCTAATATTCTACCAATAAAGTCCTGTGTGTAATTATACTTTAAATATATATTTCTTTTCATGTTATATGAATTAAAATATATATCAAAATAAGTGTCTTTCTCTTTTGAAAGTATTTACAGTTATTTCATTTGATAGTAATATATAGTGTGATTTAATTTGAAATATGAAATATTTATACACAAATATTATAGAAGGATATTTATTATTTTATAAATTAAAATGAGTTAGGGTTAAATAATTAAATTTAATATTATTTACGATTTTTGTTATTAAAATATTATTAACGCCTAAATGCCTAAGTTTGTGTGTGAAGAGAGTTCTGAACGTGTCTTGCTTCTGTCTTCGACCTTCTCTTATATACTCCTTCTCTAGGCGGTTTAATCTTTCCTTTTTCGCCTTGATTCGTGCTTATCGGAAATTTTCCATTTATCTCGATCTTTCCATTTTTCTGCGGAAAACTTCTATTTTTCTTCAATCTTGACATTTATCTTTTCCTGTGAATAATAGGCAAACCGTCATTGTATCTTTGGGCTGGACCCTATCTAAAGTCGCGAGTGGGCTTTTATCGCGTTTTAGGATCTTTCGAGCCGTTTTACGACTTTTGACAAGATCGTTTCCTGATACGACGACGTTTTTAAGTAAACATTTTGAGTTAATTGTATGGTTTGGAAATGTTCGATGTTTCTTTTAACCGTTGCCGTTTTATACGATTTACTCGAGGTTTCAATAAAAATGCTTGTTTTACGATTTTTATAAAAAATCTCGAGTTAATCGTATAGTTTGGCAATGTTTGGCGTTTCGTTTAACCGTTGCCGTTTTATAGGATTTACTCGAGGTTTTACTAAAAATGCGTGTTTTACGATTTTCTATAAAAGATCTCGAGTTAATCGAATAGTTTGCAATGTTCGGTGCTTCGTTTAACAATTGCCGTTTTATACGATTTACTCGAGGTTTTACTAAAAACGCGTCTTTACGGTTTTTATCCTAAAACTCAAACGTTTAGGGCGGATTGAGACGAAACAAAGGAAATTCCGATCACGGTTCAGAGTACGATCGAGCCGAGGAACTTAGATGGTTGAATTCAGCTCGCCCATTGGCTAGCTGGACAGATGTGCTCAGCTTTCCAATGGGCGAGCTGGATAAGTGCGTGCAGCTCGCCTGTGGGCGAGCTGGTCACATGTGTTGTCAGCTCGCCCATGGGCGAGCTGGACTGATGTGTTCAGCTCGCCCACAGGCGAGCTGGTCACATGTTTGTCTTAGCTTCCCCGTTGGCGAGCTGGACGGTTGCTCGGCTTTGGTATTTTCTTGTTTTCTCGACCCGAGATCTCTGAGGATGTAAGGAGACGTGTCCGTAGGCATTGGCTCTGATCTTTAACAATAGTTTTAACATCTCGGGGAGTTTGGGTGTTACGGCCGTTTTTGTTAACTTGGCCAATAAAACAATCGCGGGTTGTTTTATTTGATTTCCCGATGATTTCCAAGATGACGATTATCGAGTTTTTAGGAGTTTCTTTGTTCGGAGAATCCTTAGATTTCTTCTTGACACTTTTTCGTGTTTAAATCTCTAATTTTACTTCTGCGGGAAGTTTTGGTTGTTGATTCCGTCGTAACTGATTTTGACCCGAACAAACAGTATTGTTTTGGGCTGGCATATTGAATCACAGTCTATGGATTGGGGAAAACTTCCAGGGGAGATGGTAGAGGAGGTTTTCTCTTGGTTTCCAGCTAAATCTCTGTCACGGTTTCAATCAACATCCAAACATTGGCAGGCTCTACTGAAATCTGATAGCTTTTATAAGAAACACTCTGCTAATGCACCAGAGGAGGATCCTCTTAATATCATGTTGATTGATCATAGCGTCTTCTTAATAAAGATCAATCTCCATGATGCTCCATCTATTAAGGTAGCATATCAATTCATCCTTAAAGACCCTGATTATCATTCTTCACAAGTCGCTATACGTAACGTCTTCCACTGTGACGGGTTACTCCTATGCACCACAAAGGAGAATAGGCTTGTTGTTTGGAATCCATGTTCAGGAGAAACCAAGTGGATTAAACCTAGAGATAACTACATGGAATCAGACTACTATGGTCTTGGTTACGACAGCAAATCCTTCTGCAAGCAGTACAAAATCTTGAGGGTGAATATTCAAGAGATTCTACCAATCAACAATAAGTATGAGATTTATGAGGCCACCTCCGATTCCTGGAGAGTTCTTGGTGTGACTACTGATTGGTTTTTAGCAAAATATCGACGTGGGGTCCCTTTCAAGGGAAATACTTATTGGGTTGCTACATGGAGTCATCTACGTACTGATTTCTTACTTAGTTTTGATTTTTGAACAGAGATGTTTCAAAGTCTATCATTTCCTCATCCTTTTCCGCCTAGTATATGTGCTTTATCTGTGGTTAGAGAAGAGAAACTTTGTTTGTTAGGCACTTCATGCATTTGTTATCCAACAAGAGATGTACATGTATCAGAGACAACTTGTTGGGTGACAAATAGTCTCGGATCAGCCATGTCGTGGAGTGAGCTCTTAACAGTGAAAGCCTATAGCAAGGTAAATCTTAATGGGTTGAGTTTCTTGGTCGACGAGCAGAACAAAACTGTGGTGTATTGCAACCAGTTCACTAAGAAAAACAAGATCGTACACATTGTGAGAGGAAATGAAGACATAAACGTGGATCCTCTTGATCGAAATTCTACAATCATACCATTATCTTCCCCACTTCTTCTGAATTATGTTCCAGGTTTGGCCAAAATAAAAGAAGGCAAAAGAATGAAAGAGCAAAGCATGTGATTTGTAACTCTTCTTATTAAGGAACTTAGGTCTACACTTATTCGGAAAAAACCCTTTCATATGATATAATAAGATGTTTTACCGTTATTTAACACACAAAAGAGGGTATAGATTTTGGTTGAGAAATAAGTAAAAAAACAGTTTCAAAAGGTTTTGAAAAAAGTCAAAATAGTCTCTCACAGGACAGAACAGGACAATGAGAGGGAGTTGTACCTGTTGCACTTCAGGCATGGTACACAGTAATTACCTGATCGATGTAGGCCCGACAAATTGGACATCCCGATCCATAGGATTTGATGGCGGTCAAGCACGCCCTACATCCTGCGATATGTCCACATGGGACACAGATCGCAGCAGATGGAGCATCCATACATATCACGCACTGTCGAGTGCTCCTGTCTTCTGTATTTGCAGCACCAACTGAAGCTGATGGGACATCGCCAGGAGTTGAATCGAATAATGTGTCATGCGTCGGACTTTGTCTTGGCAATGGAGGAGCTGATGGTAGTACAGTTTGGAGACCGACAGGTAGACGCACTGGCTGTATAATTTGTTCCATGTGAGTTCCATTATATAAAACAAAGATATGAAACAAGAAGTCTCTATAAACCCAAGGGCTTTTGTTCTTGACATTTACCTGTGGTATTCCTTTGCATGCATCACAAAACCACTTCAGCTGTTGTCTTCCTTCTTCAATCGAAGGTGCCAGTTTCAGACTTTTTTCTGTAAGAAATACTCACATTTTTTGTATTCACCCATACATAATAATAATATAATGCAAGAGTAGATAATAAACATAGTCATAGATTTAGACATTAATTATCTTAGCAAAGTTGAAACAAGGACGTAGAAATGATTTCATACATTCTAGTACTATACTTAGAATGCAACTACGTCTCCCGTGGGAGGCGCAGATTAATAATAAAATTCAATCAACAATGCACAAAACTTAGAGGTTTGCAGGTAAACAACATATAAATGTGCTGGGAAATTACTTTTAGGGTTATCATTATCAAAAATCGTCACATAAGTATTAGGGTGCATCCCTTCTGGTTCTTCCAAGTATGGATTCCTCAAAGCCATCACCATCTCTGGCCATGCATCCTGATTAAAGCATTACCAGTTTCATAAGCAGATAAAACCCAAAAATATGGATGAATTAAAATACATTGAAAGGTAAACATCGTTGCTTTGTTTCTCCGAATTGTTATCATCTTATGATCATCGTACCTCCAGACTAGCATACACAACCAGCTCAAACCTGTAAGTCCAAGGGTAAATTGTACTAGTTGGTACCGGTACAACGACAACCCATCTGCAAATCATACGGTTTAAACAAGATTCATAGCCTTTTTGCATAGAGAAACTGAAATACTCAAGAATTAAGGGTAAAAGAGGAACGAGTTTTCAGTGCACACAAACAGATAAAGCTGAACCAATAGAGAAGAAAAGGCACAGATAAAGGGTTAAGTTCAATGAGTACTTACACTTCTTTTGAACGAAGCTGAGGAGCAAAGTAATCAAGAAGGAAAGGGCCGTTAAATTCACGCATCCAACCGGAGAACATGCAGATACGACTCTACAGAATCCACAACTTATTAAACCCACAAGAATTATCATATCCTGAAAAATATTAGTTACAACGACAGGCAAAGAAGGTAGTATAAAACATACCTCAATTGCACGGACGATATTAGTGAACCTACCGCGTCTAGCCTCGTGAAGTGGTGACCAACAGTCATAATTTGTTGCTGGAAAAAGAAACAGATAACGCCATGGGAGGTGAACACCATACAGTACATACTAAAATCACATTGAGTTAAGTAGTAAGAGAGGACAAACGCTTACCACCATTGGAAAGAAGTAAGTCAACAGTGTTCTCGAGACCGCTACTTGCCGCATGGAACAGAGGAGTCATGTAACGAGAAGCTGATATTGACAAGAGTAAGAACATGACCAAATTAGCTGAACTACCATTCGAAAGCTCGAACTTCTCTCTCATGGTATTGGTAAGCATCTCTAATAAGATCACACATTTCCGAAAACTAAAACTAACCGATGTCAAACCAATTGGTTAAGACTAGGTAATAGTTGTTGAAGTTGTTTGTAAAAGCAAGTTGCTTATCTCTGCTTGTAAAACTAGTCTAAGGATCTAGTGATTGTTGACCACAAAAAGGATCTAGTGATTAAACAGATTAGAGGAATTTGTTTAAGCAATGTGTGAGTGTAGTAAGTAGAAGAAGACTATAAACTGTATGTGTGTGAAGTTGTAAGCCCGAGTGATCAGTGTGAAAATGCAATATTCAGCTCCTCTCTTTAAGTTTCCATAACGTTTTCACTTAATTGAAACAAAGTGAAAGGATGAAAACAGAGCACAAGAGAGAAAGTTTAACAGAAGCCACAAAAAAAGGAAGAATCTTTTAAGTACAACGCGGATGGGCATTAATATTGGCTCCCAATTCGATCAAAGTACGCGCGACATCGTATAGCCTCGGATTCATGCAAGCCACGCTCAAAGGCGTGTTCCCTTCTTTATCAATCCACTGCAATATCGAAATACATAAAACCCTAGTTCTGAGCAATGGAACATAAGAAAAGAAGAAGAGTTTGGCAATAACCTCGAGGTTAGCTCCCTCTTGACAAAGAGCTCGAATCCTTTCTACGTTTCCGGATCTCACTTGCTTAAACAGCTGTTTCTCTTTCGACTGCGTTAACCCCATTCCGCTTGGCGATCAGATAACTTTTTGTTTTTTTTTTTTGTTTTTTGTTTTTTGTTTTGGTTCACTTTCTTAGCACATAAGACTCAAGTGAAGACTGTTCCATAAGGAATTGTTTACTAAATTTTGTAAACTACTCCCTATATTATAGAACTTTCAAATATTTTTACCTTGATAATTTTTGTTGTCATTTTGTGGCCTTACATGAGCTTTCGCTTCGATCTCTGTATCTCAGTCAATATTTGAAACTGAATTCTAATACAATGCTATTTTTTCCTTTAAAAAACCCTTAAAATATATCAGTTCTTTTGTTAATTTATTGTGAACCTTTACACAAGAAAAACCTCGAACGTGTCTGGAAACAGCTCTTCCTAATCATAGCCACAAAAGACTAAACTATTGGTGAAAGTATTCATATCTTAATGGTATCAGCATGTGAACCAGGGAAACAAAATAGAAGAATGTTTTCCAGTTAGCCGCCGGCTCTCTCCACCAACTCTCTCCAGTACCAAGGGCGACAAATTAGACGACATATAAAAGTAGAGTTATGCCATGATCTTTTGTATTTGATACAACAATAGAATCTGAATACAACATTCAAATATTGCATCTAGATGTTGTTTCTTTTATAGTTTCTAGATGTTTTCATTCGCTACGTGCAGAAATAATATTTTTAAATATTATTTAATTTAAATTTAAAAATATTAGTTTATTTTTTAATATTATTATTTTATATTTTAATTTCATAAAATTTAGAAGAAATAAAATATAATATGTAGTCTTGTTTCTTTTGATTTGATTTAGCTATTTTAATTTCATTTTATTTAAACGTTGATAAAGTTAATATATTTGCTAAGAATAACAGTTTATTTATATGATAATGACTATTTATTTAAATATTTATATTATCGTCTAGTTTTAAATTATACAATTAAGTATCAACGAAAAGTATATCTGATTATTATTGTTTTAGTTTTATATCTGCAAGGCACACTTACAAATAATTTTGATAAAATATTTATATCTATACAAAATGTCAGAAACATAATGAAAACTTAATCACTACTATATTTTAAACATCTCAACAAGATATTCATAAAGAAATTTACTTTAATGGTTGATGTAGGAGTTATTAAATATTACCATATTTTAAAAATCTTACAACAAAATATGAACATTTATAAAGAAAATGATACAGAACATAATTAAGTGATGTCAAGTCACATTTTATCAAAACCATTTCATTTTTTTATTGAAAATGAATATGGTAGTGTCACATAAGAAAATTACTTCTCAAATAAGTCTAGAGGATTATTTGCATTCAGATGCAACATCTAGATGCTAAGTTATTCGTTTTTCAATTTATAATAATAGCCTTTGAATACTATTAGCTGAAAATACTAAAAATGTATAGTTTTTATTCTTAATAAGGATTTGAGTAAAATATTAAAATAAATATATTTCAAATTAATTTTGCATTTCTACAGTTTTGCAATTTTTGACTAGAAACTTAATTTAGTGATTTTGGCGGGCAATACACAATTTGTGGTTTTGAAAAAAGATGTTACGGTTTTGATAGAAAAATGAGAGTTTCCCTTTTGACAAGAAGTTTGGATTTTCCGACTGATATGACACACAATTTTCTAGTTTTGACGAAAAAATACAATTTTCTGATTTTGACAGGTAATTACGATTTTTTTGGTTTTGATACAAAAAAAACATGATTTTTTTGTTTTGACAGGAACACATGATTTTTCAGTTTTGACAAAAATATGATTTTATGTTTTAAGGGGAAAACGTACTTTTACATTATGGTGAGAAAATGTGATTTCTGATTTTGATGGGAACATGCAATTTAACAAGAAAAAGAGATTTTCCAGTTATAGAGAAAAATATAAAATATAATCTTCTGATTCAAAATATTATATATTAACTATAATAACTAATTTAATTAACTGTATTTGTATTAATGGTATTTAAATCTTTTAAATTTTGAACTGCAAATATATCAAAATTCTATACTTTAGCATCTCTAGTATCTAGATATTTTAAATTACATCTAGATATAAAAATGAACATGGCCTTAAAGTATAAACCTTGAGATCATGTCTCGTATCGGAAGCCAATATATTTTTTTGATTAAATTTGGGGTATCACAGGCTATGGAAGAGTTCAGAAAAATCCCAAAAATTGATATAATCCATAAATAGATCATCTCGTATCAAATTGTTCGTAGAGTGATTTAGTGAACTATCCATATTTGAAGCTCAAATTAGTAAAATACCATTGATTGGACATGAAGGACACAAACATAACCATTTGGCAATGAAATACCGAGAATGCCTTTTTTCTTTTCTCTCATTAACACGAAGCGTAAAAACATTTGTTAACATATAACACTTCTGTTAACGTCTACAATATTTGTTAACAGCCAACACATTTATTACCGCGAAGCGTTAAAATAATTGTTAACAGTTAACACTTCTGTTAACGTCTACAATATTTGTTAACAGCGAACACATTTATTAACGCGAAGCGTAAAAATAATTGTTAACACCTAACACTTCTGTTAACGTCTACAATATTTGTTAACCGCTAACACGACGTCGAATCTAAAACCTAGAAAATTGATATCATCAAAAAATTGAGGATTCAAAGCCACTTATGAAAAAAATAATGAAATTTAAAATTTAATTGTATATAGAATGATAGAGATTTGTAAAATAATTAGGGACTGGAGAGAAAAAAAAGGTCAAAATTGAGGATTCAAAGCCACTTATGAAAAAATAATGAAATTTAAAATTTAATTGTATATAGAATGATAGAGATTTGTAAAATAATTAGGGATTGAAGAGAAAAAAAAAGAGGGGAGATGTCAAAGAGAGGGGAGAGAGTGTAGAAAAGGGCAAAATGGTCCAAAGGAAAGTGACTGTCACATCATGGGCAATTCTCTAATTATAGGTGCCAAATAGGGCACTTTAACCAATTATCTCTTATTCGTAAGTAGTAGGTTCATATCGGAATGACTATATGTAGAGCTAGTAATTTTTCACTATAAGGAAATCAATTTTGTGGTCTGTAACAATAAAATAATTTTTCATCTAGTGAAAATCATTATACGACCACGATGTGAGAATTTGAATTCAGTTGGAGACGTGAGGATAGCGGATAGAGGATTAATGGAAATCAAATCGGATCTCATAAAGTTATCAGAAAAGTGAGATCCGTTGAAGATCGTGAGCCCGAACCCTGTAGATGTGAGGATAGAGGATGCTATCACCTTCTCAACGGCGACATCTTGTCTCATGTGAGAGGTTTTTTGTTGGGATTTATCAGTGATTACGTCAGAGAATCTATCAGAGATTTCGTCAGGATTTGGTGATGGAAATCAAACAAGATTGAGTAACTTAAACGAAGACAACGACGCCATACTAGGAAAAGGAAATTTCACTTTTATAAATATATAGAAGTCGGTAGCATCTTGGAAATATTACTTTCATGGAGTTATAGAAGTTGCAAGTATTGTGGAATATTTCCTAATAGGTTTATGGAAATGGGCGAATGCCTTAATTCAACTAGGTTAACCTAATAGACTCTTCTATGTAAGAGGAGCTCGTGTGTATTCTTTCTCTCTTGTCCAAGAAAAGACCTAGCTTGGTTTGTGAGCTTTGGTTGTGAGAGAAAGAGAGGTTCTATATTATTGTACTTGAGATTATAGTGAATTGCCTCTTGCCTATCTTCTACTTATTTCGCTTTCTTCTTCCTATCTCCATTATTCTACAAACTCAACTTTCTTACTTACGTTGTCGAGTTTGTCAGAGAGTGTATCAGCGAGTTTGTGTGTTTGATTCTAGTTCTTGAATCAAACTAATTTGCCCTTGAACTTCAACAAATTGGTATTGGAGCTTTGGTTGGTGTCCTTGTCAATAGCGAATGCAAGAATTAAGGTGGAGCGGTTTGATGGGAAGGGTGACTTCTCATTATGGAAGAAGAAGGCATCTGTGTGTCCTTGGTTTAAAGGATGTGTTAGAAGAGTCTATGTCACCATCTGATTCAGTGATGAGGAAGCATGAAGTCGAAGATGTATTCAGGGAGAGGTTGGTGAAAGGGGAATCCGAAAGGCTTGAAAGATCAGAGAAGGCGATGAATCTGATCATTCTCAGTGTTGGAGATCACGTGTTAAGGAAGATTGAATTGTGTACGTCAGCCGCTTCTACATGGTCTACACTGGAGAGGTTATATCTTTCGAAGACTCTACATAATAGAATTTACTTGCAGCACAAGTTCTACACCTTCAAGATGGTCGATACTCGGAGTATGGATGAGAATATCGATGAATTTTTGAAGATTGTCTCCCACCTGTCAAGCGTGAATGTAACCGTGTCAGAGGAGGTACAAGCGATTCTGCTCCTAAACTTGCTTCCTTCACGGTTCAACTCTCTAAAGGAAACACTTAAGTACGGCAAGGATACATTGTCGTTGGAAGAGGTGACAACTGCAGCAAGGTCTAAAGATCAGGATCTGAAGTCCTCTACGGTTTCCCATGATAGTGGTGAGGGATATTATGCTAGAGGAAGGACTGAGAAGAGGGATCCTGTGAGGAATGTAAAAGGCAAGTCTAGATCATTCTCAGGGTCTAGGATAACATGCTGGTTCTGCAATAAGCAGGGGCACACCAAAAGGGAGTGTCATGCCTACAAGAAGAAGTATGGCAGAGGAGAAGACGAAGTTGAAGCAGCCGTTGTGATAGATTTGTGAGTCAGCGGATTATGCACTGTCAGTAGCAGATACGTGGCATCATGATAAGTGGGTGATTGACTATGGATGCTCCTACCACATGACGTGTAAGAGAGATTGGTTTCATACGGTTGAAGAATTGGCTTCAGTACAGGTACTTCTTGGTAATGATTGCACGGTTAGAGTGCAAGGTACAATCAACATCAAAACTTATGGTGGTTATGTCAAGATGCTCACGAATGTCAGGTATATTCCGGAATTAAGAAGAAACTTAATATCTACTGGAACTTTGGATGTATTA